TCCCCAATTAATTATCACTCTGTGGTCTGTATCCAAGTCCCCATCGCGGTGGATGGTTGGATGCTGTGTGGGGCGCGTCTGCAAGACTTTCAGAGGTGCCGGATCTTTATTTGGGTTTGCCATTGACAAGTTGTTTCGTTTGGAACACTTCGTTTTACTGGCTGGCGGTTCATTCATGATTCGAGGGAACCTTTGTTATCGAGATAGGGTCTCCTTGCAGCCTCTGTGGCCTGCCATCAACTCTGCGAACCGCCCAGGCTGCAGAAAAGTCCGGGCTTCCATGCACAGCATACTCCGTACAGCCGTTTAGGGAGGTGGCAAGCACGGATTGATTGTTGAATCCCGAGTCGATTCGACTGCATCCATCCATGATCCAGTCCAGTGGTACCCGGGCTAGCCGGTGCGTAGCTGTGAATGTGGGCTGGTAAGGGTTGGTTGGATGTTGTCCCTAATAGAGTGCAGCCTTCGTGAAGCCCACTCACACTGCCCTCGACTTGTAGCATCCATTGACAGAGTAAGGCAAGTTGCGAGGGCGAAGGACGTCAACCTGATCGTGATCACTGACGTCCCGCGGTGCGAAGAAAGGCCGTGCCAAAGTAGCACAGATAGCCAAATGCCCGTGTTAGAGGTTGAGTCACTCTGCGGCTCGCTCCTCTGTGCGTTTGAGTTGTGATAATAACATCGCGACACGCTGCTCTGGTTTGTTTGCCCGTGTCCAAGGTGGTAAGGGCTCCAAAATCACGATCGAGCCTGTTGAGTTCGCCAAAAGGTTGGGGCATGCGTACCTAACGGGTAGCGCCATCCGTCAACCGCGACAGCCTCAATTTGCATAGTTCTAGATCGTCATGGCGTGCCGTCCCTTGACCTCGATTTGTTTGTTTGGTAATTAGTGCCTCGTCGTCAGAGTCTCACTTTGGACCCAAGACCCCTAAGTCAGAGGTGCCTTCAAGTTGCGGCTTTGGGACTGAGATGGCCGCCGTGTCTCCACGTCTCTGGCGCCTGGCATCGGGCTTCGACGAGCACGGATCGACCATGACACAATCCTGCAGGGATAGACAGACATTGCTCTCGTGAGAATCATCCAGTCGAAGTGTCGTCTGGTCCGTGAGTTTAGCTGCAGCATGGGTGCTGAGTAACATGCTCGGCGCATTCGCTAGCGCAGGGGATGGAATGGAACACTATTGGAAGAACCAGCCGCGTTCACCTGGCCTGGTAGATTTTGACTTCCGGCGTTTCTGTCATGAACGCCTCCGAGACGATACGAAAAGAGACGGCCGACCGAGACTAAGCTGCCGGGATCCCTCGGTGTGACTATGGAGGCCCTGGCTGCAGCGCCAATCCGGCCATCAACGGTTCGACAGTCGTGGATACCATCCGCACTTTTTGCTTCTTCGGTCAGCCTACGAGTGCTCGGCTGAACGCAAAATTGCGATCTGCTCGGCAATTCAAAAGCAAGCGGGCAGACTTGCGCGGGTGCCAAATGATCGAGGCAGACGTCGATTTGACTGCAACGACTGACTGCCGCTGTGGAGTTTGGCCAGCCGAAAGCCGACGGGTGCTGAGGGTAAAGCAAGCGTAAAATTCTCTGTCACACAGCTGTCATACAGCAAACAACGGTCTTCCCTCTCCTTGCGTTCGCTGGCCGTGCTTGGCTTTTTGGAGAACAAAATTGCCATGTGGTTCAGGACGGGGCGGTTGTTGTATCAAGGTTGCAACATGCTTCCAAAAAAGTTCTATCTCACCGGCGGACCGTCGAATTTCGGTCAACCCTTGTCAAGCGATTCGAGTCTATCGCCTCATGGCGGCCGTTAGCGCCGCGTTTGTCTCCCTTTGCTCATCACTTCAGGAGAGCCTCATTAATACGAGGCAATACGTTGAAAGCTGTGGTAAACGTCCCGCAGCGTTTTATCCTTGTCTAGTCAAGTCGCAGAATGATTTGATGAGCGCTAGGCCCTGACCGTGGCCCAAGTTCCGTAGCCGATGGAGCGTATATGATCGGCTTATTTCGCAAGGTTGCGCTGCGGGTCGTTTTTTGGGTAGAGAATCTTCGTACTTTCGTAGTGTGTACGGAGTAATACTATGTCCAAGGCCTAGTAATCGTCTCGTCCAGAGTCCAAGCTGCACAAGTCCAGGGTGCTATCCATCCTAAGGTAGCGAGGATGGGTAGCGACAAGGGCATCGTCAAACAAGAGAATAACCAGGCGAGCGCGCTGATTGGAACCCACGCCAGCGGATTTGCTTACGTTTGCAAAGCAACCCCGAGCTGCCGGGCATCGCATGAATAGATTGGCCCCGTGAGTGACAGGTTGGCCTGGTCTTGCATGTTTGAGGTGCGTTGCGAACAACATCGGACTACTGGAAAAGTCCAAGCTCAAGCTGGGAGGGAAAAAAAAAACAAAAAAAACAACGAGAGACAAGGCTGGATACTAATCGGATTGCTGAGGTGGCTGTAGTGGTCACCACGAACCCTGTCATGTTAACGAAGCAAGCCGCGCCCGCGCAGCTGAATATGTGCTTGAGTTGCCTCATGCAAAGTTTGAATTCGTACGGGAGCGTGGTACCCAGTTCGCTGCACGGCAAGACCGTGGGGGATTTCCTCCGCCCCGGTCTACCAGAGACAGTCACACCTGATGGTGCAGCAAGTCTGTGGGAAACCGAGTCTCAGGTCCGTGAACCATGCTTGTGTTTCTCGTGATCTCTCAGCCGCGGAGGTCAATCATGTAGCGGAGAACATGAGCCACATCTCAATCCTGGCCATCGTCTTTTGGCGTAGAATGTGGATTCGCTCAAGCAAGGAATGTTTTCGACTCTTGAACATTCGAACAACGTTGCCGGGGAATGCTGGCTCGGTTGCGTCCGCTGTTGATTTCGGGGTTGGCTAGAGAGCCGAGTGATACGCTCCGAAAATACCCTCAGTCCGCCATGGACCATGTCTAGCTGATCTAGCATGCCTGCATCGGGGCAGTAATTAGGTGTTCCGAGGATCACCAAATGCATGCCAGAGCTTGCCACGCCGACTCACGTGTCGGTTGAACTCAAACTAGTAAGTTTGCTGGTTCTTGATGCAATTCCCTTGACAACATGGTGTTGCTGGCTAAATGCCTCAACTAGATATTGCAAGCCAAGCGCACGCATTCCCCGAATGGATCGCCAACGGCGGTCGGCTGAAGGTCTGAGATCGAGGGCTATCACATTGTCTGGTTGTGAGTGAGTATCGATCACTGCTGGTGTTCCCAGGTAGGGAAACCACGATGCCTTCCTATATGGACGTGGCGTTTTTTCTCGAGCTCGAATATGATAATGCGGTATCGCCAGGAGTGAGATCGGGACGGACAGACGATCCTTCAGAAAGGCATGGGTAGACTCGAGCCGCGGGGATGCTGAAGTCTCCGTTGTCCAGCGGAGATGTAAACAGCCAGCTCAAGTCAGCTAGTATCGAGAACTCGATAGAAGCCGGCATGCAGACTCTCGGAGAGTAACCACGCGTATAATGTCGAGCGAATCAGAGACGAAGAAGTAGACTCCAAGCTGTTATGTCTCAGAGCACAGACGACAGCGTGGCTCCGGCAGCGAGCTTAATCCCGAAAGGCCAAGACAATATGGGCGCTAATCTGCGTGAAATCGAGCGCATACCTAGATTGACGACCTTGCCACGTCGGATTGGTTGGCCTGCCCCAAGCCCATGCAACAGGGGGCATGTGGATTTCGACCGCCACAAACCACTGCACTGTTACAGCTTGGGTGACTTACTTGAGTCGGCTCAGGACGATGCAGTGATGGCGCGACATGAGGCCATATTAGTTCTGGTACGAATAGCTCTTGGTCTGCGGGGGACGCGACGCAGGGAGAAAAGGCGCTTGACGGGCGTCTGCAGTGTGACTGTGCTAGACATTAACGATCTCAAGAAAAAGCAACCATGGTGTCGGTGATATGGTGGTGGTTTCGAGGATCGCTGTCAATGAAATCATTTCTGTCCCTTGACCTGGTGAAGACCCCCAGCTCCACGTTTGTTCGAGTGAGATGGAAGGGCGCCCCCAGAAAAGCCGAGATTGGGTATGCGCACCAGCATCTAGGTCTACGATATTGCGGAGGTCGGATACGGATGCTCGGTGCAGCCTTGTTCTTGAACACGGAGCGGCATCTTGCCTCATCTAGATTGAAGGATCAGCAGCGGACGAGGGAGTGTGTCCCTGCGTGCTGGCTGCCGTTTCACCCTCGAGTCTCGCTTGGGAGCTCCCTGTGAATTTGACGGTCCAATGCCCTGCACCGGGTACAGACAGACGGAGCTGAGGCTTGTGTCGCCAATCAAGTGGGTTCCACGATGACTCCTCCCTAGACTCCGTGGCTGGAGCGCCTGCGAGCTTGTCTCGAGCGGTAGGACGTGCGTGCGTGCTCAAGCCATTCGCATTATGACTTGTTGGACGGAATTCGGATGGTTGGAAAATAACCCGAGATGTTATTATTGCTCCAAAGACTTGCCGGCGAAGGAAACGCAGCCGATACTTGTCTTGCAGTGTCTGGTAGCAGAAGGCGGCTGCTGGGGCACATTCCTCTATTTGTGTTTGTTTCTGAAGCATCGATAGAGCTTCGTTTTTGATGCATTTATGCGTGTGTTCCGCTTCCCGCCATAGGCGATAGGTAGTGACAGTGTTTGAACATTCTTAGGTATATGTCTTTTCCTCCGCCACTATCTCAGCCTGCTAGTTGGTATCCATTGCTCCTTAGGCCCGGTTGCGGTTGCTGTCTCCTGGGCTCTTGCCAATCTAATGATGGCGATGCTGACCACGATGCTTGGCCCGCCTGTTTCTCGTTTGCAGTAGCGGGCACACTTGGCGCCTGGAACCGGGTTGGGCAAGTTGGCCCTGGCTGGGAATTGGAAGGGCGAGAGACAAACAGGGTTTGGGAATGTCGCAGAAGCGAACCGCTGCTCTTAGCACGGCGTATTAAGGTGGTGGTATATTGGGGCCGTCGCTGCGTCGGTAATACGTGTAATGCAGAGATCAAAAGAGCGTGGGGTACCCAAAGGATAACGTCGCAGAGATTCGAAGAGTCGGGATGATATTCCCAGGGTAAGATTGAGATTCAGTGTCGGCACGAATATGGACAGGGACCGACGACGGACAAGGGCCAAGGACCGAGCTGCAAGCCTTGAAGTTGGACGGGCGGACCAAGAGTTGTGGAGTGAGGGAACGAGTTGGACGATGAGATCTGACAGATGCGCTAGCCCGGCTGCGGTAAGCGTTTTCCGTGATCGATGCAATTCCTGCAGACCGCTTGTTTCTTTTCTCAAATATCTTGCCTGAGGCATCTTCAGGAATTATCAGGCAGCCACTGGTATTTGGTAAGGTATGCATGGCAGGCATGGGAAGAGGGAAGGAGGCAGTCGGTGGCACCGGGACAAGAGTGGCAGGGAGCCGGAAAGTGAGGCAGGGACTAAGGTAGTTGAGATATATCACGTGATAAGTACGTACTCTATACCAGTTAGGTAGGTAGGTTCGGTATCCAGACAGAAGTTGGAAACCTGGGCGGCAGCCAGCCACCAGCACCAGCCACTACCTAGCCACAGAGTGTGACCCACTTGCAGTTGACTGCGCCTTCTATTTGTTCCTCCTTCTTTCTCTCTGCTCTTTCCCGTTCTTTGAATCCTTCCTGCAAGTGTGACCTCAGCCCGGATGTAGCGCCTTCTTTTTTGATTGGTCACGAAGGCTGGTGGAATGAATTAACGCAGCATATGATTGGTGAAATAATCGATGAGGCGGGGTGGTGGTAAGGAAGGAACTTCAAAGAGCACCCAGAGGGATTCGGATAGAGGAAGGACCTAACTACCGACCTGACTCCATCGTCATCTTCCTCATTCTCACCCCTTGCAGAACTGCACATCGTCTTGCTTCTTGATATGCTGCAATCCTCTCCATCACAATCAGTGGCTTGCGGTCGGACGGTGTAGCTGCTCTCGGAAGGTTTCTGCTACTCTGACGCTCCGCTGTCTTCGGTTATTTCGGTCTGCTTACGGTTGCGGTGCCGCATAGACAAGCAAACCATCGTGATCAGCCAGAAACCACTTTCACGATGCCAGAGACTAGCCTACCGATACACTGTATTCCTCGTGGATTGTTATGGTAGGCTGCACATCACCACTTTCACCGCACGGCAGAGCTCCATCGAATCAAGCTCGCCACCAACCGACTGGCCTTTATTCTAGCAGTGGCATCATAGCCTGCTACACCACCATGAAGATGCGCATCATGAATGATGAGTTTCTGCTTTACCAATCTCCTGAGCGATATCCGTCCCGCCGTCCATCTGCCGCTAGGCGGCACGGGTAATTCGATGACCCAGGAGAAAGAGAACCGCTCGTGGTATCAAGACCCAGACCTGCCTGGACCAAAACCCAGAGCCCGGGAGGCGCGCGCTGGTTGCTCTGCTCAGCTGTGCTTGCAAACTTGCCGATGGCCACACTGGCGGGGGAGTTGGGACTTCACAGCTTCACGAACACACAGACGATGCTACACTGCATCGTGAACCACGGGCGCTATGCTACACCTGGACGCCCGAAATTGCCTATTGGGCTGGCGAGATCAGCCTCTGCAGACCATTATATGGGCCCCCGTGGCCCCTTCACCATCATGATCCATCATGATCCATCATAGCTCCGTCGTCGACAGCCTCACTCGTCGGGAGCATGCGCCCGGGGATCCCTGTACAGCGGCCCCATCAAGTCGTTACGAGGCTGCTCTCGCTCGCCTGCAGCCTCTGCATTTCTTCCATTCTCGAATCGCCCGGACTGGCCAGTGGCACGCACACATGGCCCATGGACTACGCTAGAACGGCACAAGGTGACAAGACTCCAAGAGACGCTGCCACTACGCACCACACAGACCACATACTTTTTGACACTACACCACCACGGCCATACCACCCATGTCTTGTCGACGTTCGACTCTTTCAAGTCTCACTCTCAACGACCAGCTCTCTCTTTCGCGGCTCGCCTGCATCGCCGTGCCAGAATGACACACAATTCTTGCCTCAGGCATGGATGCTTCAACCTCAAGCAACCCTGACAGCGAATCAACCCCAGCCAGTCCCTCGTTCTGCCCGTTTACCGCTCCGAGCCACACAGACGTGCAGCATATTGCTGCAGACTGCAAAGACGTATGCACCACACGCATCCAACCAACGCAGCGTTGCGGCGACCACCAAGCCTGGATCGCGGCGTGCGGCGCCACGGCGTGCATAGGTCAAGGGTACGGCAGACTCCAGAGAAACGAGAGAAAAAAAAGACACATACTCGCAACATCAATCTGCTTGTCCATTGAGCGCTCCGCACGCTCAGGTTGCTTATCCACTTTCTTTTCATGGAACTCAATCCTGGCCCGCCCATTAAACGGTCGTTCGCAATCTCAGGCCCATGTGCGACCCATGACCACGTTGGCCGCCGTCACTGGCCGGGATCAAAAGCCCATTCCAGAGGCAAACCAAATCCTCCATCGTCCGCCCTGAGTCTCCACACGCACCGAGTCCAGGCCTGCTCTTCCGCTTGCTGCTCCGTGGATGCTGGAGTTGCTCCTGCTTCGTCTCCAGCCAAGCTGGCCACGGGCACGCGAACCCAAGGCCGATTTGGAAAGATTTGGCCGTAAATTTCGAGGCACCACAGTCCGCAGCTCATCATTTGCAGAGAGGCTACCGTGTCCTCGACTCCTCCAGCCTTTACCTACTGCGTATTCGTACGGAGTCTGAGTGATGCCTATAGCGCTGAATCCGACCCCACGGCCCTGAACCCGCTCTTGTACGTCTAATCATGCTCTGAGTCTCGAGTCTCCTGTCATGCTCCGGTCTGATGAGACCTCAGAGGCTCAGACAGGCTCGGATTGACCGGCCACAGCGGCCCACAACCAGTTCGAAAAGAAAAATACCATGGCAATGATCCATCTCCGCCCGTCGTCAAACAAACTTGGTACTCTATTCGGGTCGGCCGCGGACTGCCAGCAACCAGACCAGCAGACATTGCCAGCCAGCACACAACAGCGTACCTGCAAATGTGAAAACCCCGTCTTCACTGTTTGGCAAGATATGCAGTCTCCCCGGCCATTCGTATCGACTCGACCATATAGAACACTTAGCTCGGCACCAACTACTTTGATAGTCGCTTGCGCAGACCATTACTCATTGGCTCGTGTTACTACTCCGTAGCAGTCATGGTATTGACGCAAGCAACCTAAAGTGCGTCTCAATAGGTGATTGGCCATCTGTATCCTTGTCGACCAATCATGGCGCTACGGGCGATCTACACTACACAATTATTGCTCAGAGAGAGAGAGAGAGAGAGAGAGAGAGTGTGTGTGTGTGTATGGGTGGTGTAGTCGGTGCAGCCACAATGTGGCCACAAGGTGGAAGATGACCGCTTGCGAAAAATCCGGAAGCCAATCAATGCTCCCGCGAGGGCTGGATGGGAAGCGACGGGCATCCTGTGAGCCAGAGCCAGATCTGCTCAGCATTGATCCAGTCACCAGCCTGCGAGGCAGCATCTGCAACAGAAAGGCTGACCGGCCACCGAAGCCCACACTCAACAACTCCCGGACCTTATGCAAACAGCTTGCCAAGCGCCACAGAGGCTCCAACGTCAGCTACGAGACCATGGCAGTAAGCCAATTAAATCGCGAGTGGCACTATTGTGTCTGGGCATCCCAAGTCGCCCGCTCTCAGTCGGTGTTTGGCGGTAGTCACAGATTGCCCTGCTACCAGCTCTACCCGGTGTCAGCAGCGTATTTTGGACCATGAACCACGCGGCATTGATGATGGCTTTGGTTCAAAGGTACGGGGCTCCGCAACAAGCCATAGCATACCACGTCGCTAGACCAGGCCGAATGCTCCCAAGTCGCGGTGAAGGAAGACGTGTCTCATTCGATCATCGTTCGACTGCGATTCCATGCCCGGTTACGACGTTCCCCCCAGGGCCCCAAGGGGTTTTTTTTCAAGCGCGAGGCTTTCCTCTATGATCCTGCGAAAACGGGCACGTTCGCCCTGCGGCAGGAGAGACAAGGGCAGGCTGAAGAGAGAGAAGAAAAGAAGAAGCTGCACATCACAAGTTACAGCCGGCCCATGACGATGGCTCACTCAGTGTCGCTCAGGGAGGGTGAGAAGCAACAGCAAGAGCACGGAGCAGTCAGTTACCAACTAGACACTGGGGCCTCTCTGGTTGACAGTCAGAAAGCTGAGAAGGGAAGTGAAGGGAAGGGAAGGGTAGAACAACAGACAGTCTGTGTTCCCTCCGCCAGGGTCGTCCCATGAGTGCTTGGGAGGCGACGACTCACGCACGCCCCGTTTCTTCGACACCCATCGACCATCCGTTTCGTCTGACACACTCAGCCAGTAGCGGTGGCAGGGGTATATGGAGCACGGCTGGGGTGGTGGATAAGAATCAACACACGAGAAGTGAGGAGTGACACAGCTCACACCCACTCACACTTCACACCCCCCTGGGACGGGGCCACTTTACCTGGTGCGTCAGACAATACCTGCTCGTAAATTGCGCAGAGACGCCAATCACAACTGCTAGTGGCATCCTGGTGGCTGCTCCAGCAGAGAAACTCTGCCGGTCACTTGTCCACGCCTCGGCACGACCACGCCCCCTTTGGCTCCACGCCCCCTTTGACCCTCTACCTACTGCGTAGCTCCAAGCCAGGCTCTCAGGCCTCAGGCTCTTCTATCAACTCTAACCCACTGGCCCGCTGCTCATGTCGAACTCAAGAATAGACGGTGCATTGGTGGATCCATGGCTAAGACATGGCAAGTTGCTCATCCCTGCTCTGCTAATATCGAAGACGACTGGGGTGTCCTTGAAGCCACCGGCCATGGTGGATACTCCACGCAACGCACTTTGACATGGGTACGTAGCCGTAGCGCTAACATCATTTCGCCTCGTTCCTCATCGGGGTGGTGGCAGTCATTATCAACCACCCATATCCCACCACCGTACAACTGTTCTGACTTGCCTTGAGACTTCAATCATCAACTCTTCCACCACGCTCCTTCCCGTCGACCTCTTCACATCTCTTCACGATCTTCGGGAAACTGAAATCTCAGTCGCCCTTCCACCTTCGCCTCACAACAGACACCGACCTTCACCGACCTCAGCTCGCCACCCATCCCGTACCAGGCGACAAGCACGTGTTTGACTCGTTGACTCGACGTCTTGCACTTTCGACCTTTTCCACTTCAGAGCGATCCATAGGACTATCAACCCATCTCAGGCTGCAGGATAATAACCCAGGACTATTACTTTGGATTCCAGGACATACCAACCCAAAGGACAAAGGCCGTTTCTACTTTTCTTCTTCTTCTTCTCTTCCACTTTGGATCTCGCCCTTGAGACCCAGTACAGACCGCCAGAGAAAGGATTCCCATTTGGACCCGCAAAAATCACATAACATGCAGCATGTATCAGGATTTGGCTATCCCACCCCTCCCGCATCGCCGGTGTACGACAACACAAAGTGTTCGATCCAACAACCCATCACGACAGCACCTCACTGCCAGGCACGATATGTCCCTTTAACACCGGAGGCGAGACTCGGAAGATTTCTTGAGGGCAAGTTGCTGTTGCAAACCATCCTTGGTACTGGCGCATATGGCGTCGTATATTCCGCAGTGGATGTCAAGACTGGAGTTCGTTACGCCGTCAAGTGTCTCAGCAAATTCAACCCAGATGGAACCCCATTGGATCGTCGACAGGTTGCCTTCCAAAACCGAGAGATTCGTCTGCACTACCTGGCGTCGGCCCACCCTAATGTGGTGTCGATGCTCAAGATTGTTGATGACCCGGACTGCATCTATGTTATCTTGGAATATTGCCCGGAAGGTGACTTGTTCTTCAATATCACCGAGTGCGGTCAGTATGTCGGGAACGATGACCTCGCCAAGAGAGTCTTCCTGCAAGTATTGGATGCCGTGGAGCACTGCCATTCCCTCGGAATCTACCACAGAGATTTGAAGCCGGAAAACATTCTCGTGTCGGACCAAGGATCAACAGTTAAACTTGCCGACTTTGGCCTCGCAACCTCATCCGACCGGTCAGAGGACTACGGATGCGGCTCAACTTTTTACATGAGTCCAGGTAGGCCATCCACTCCCAGGAATTTTCCTACCTCTATCAAACCCCCTGATCACCACTAACGTGTTGCTTTTTCCTTTTCTTAGAATGCCTGGACCACTCCGCTCGGAGACCTTTCTACTTCTGTGCACCAAATGATGTCTGGAGCCTCGGAGTCATCTTGGTCAACCTGACCTGCGGACGCAACCCATGGAAGCAAGCATCCTTTGAGGATTCTACTTACAGGGCTTACGCCCGATGCCCGGAAACTTTGAAGAGTATTCTCCCCGTGTCGGATGAACTGAACGACATCTTGGGGAGGATCTTCACCCGTAACCCGGATCAGAGGATTACTCTTGCCGAGTTGAAGGCAAGGATCCAGGCTTGCTCCATGTTTACCATCCCGGCGACGCCGGCAGCTGTGCTCTCGACTACCCAGGTTCCGCAGGAGCACACTACCGAATACGTTACTAGCGAGGACACGATTGTCGACGACTACGACAACGCCCTCTCGCCCGCTTCTTCCTCCTCGGATGAAGGATCTACCTGTTCTTCTGACGAAGGTTCGCTCACCTCGAGTGGCTCGACCATCGATGACCTTGATGAGGACTTCCTTCAGGAACAGCAGGAGACCATGGCATGCCATGCCCAAACATACGAATCAGAGGATACCAGGATCGCATACTTCCCCACACAGGACTATATCCCTCAACAGTACACTGGTCCCGTACCATCGCAGCTTGCCGGACCCGAGTCCTTCCGGGTTCAGATGCCTGTACCAACACCGGCTCCTGTCCAGGCTCAACTGCAGGCGCCCAGTTGTCCATCCAAGTCTTTCGTCCAGTTCTGGTGGGGAGATGTGTTGAAGTATGCTCAGCAGGCCCCTGCTATTCACCCTCACGTCCCCTTCCACCACCAGGTTCCCATCTTCTCGCACCCTCAAGGCTGCTATTAGGAACAACTATCCGTTACGCCAATCCATATCCGGGACCATCTTCCAATTTTTAAAAAAAAACCTGGAGCATACGGCGACAACCCCCAAAAATCAACTAATCAACGTTCATCTTCACGGCCATTCCTGAAGACATCTAATTCGTTACGAGACACGTGGACCATATTACCTTTTGGATTTACTTTCCCGGAATGGAATCTCCAAAAGTCGCGCGAAAAAAAGGGATCGGATTCCGTCTATTACGTAAAGGCGCTTGTAAACTTGTCGGAGCGGGTTTTTTTTTTTGGTTTCATTTATTCTTTTCTATGTCTTCAGCGCGGAGTTGGGAACTGGAAAGCAAAGAGCGATGGTGTGTCGATGTCGAGAATTATGGAAAGCATATCAGGCGCAGAAGGGGGACGCAGACAAAGAGACAAGGATTCTTCTCATGTATTTTTTTCTGGGACGCGGAATATTCTATTCTGGCGTTTGATGCGCAAACAACTCGGGGAAACGAGCCTCCAAGGAGCCATTCTCCTGGCAATCGTTTGGATGATACCAGATTCTTCACTTTTTTCTTTTCTTTTTTGGGATGGGTTTGGGCCACTACAGGAGAGAGGAATTCAGTTCACTCAAAGCTGAGGAAAAGACGTTTTAGACAATACCTGGGCCAAGAACCCAACCGTCAGCGGATACTTCCGCTGAACGGAGACTCAAGTTGGGACCAGAAGCCCTCGAAACGAGTACGGGCTAGGGACAACGACCAGAAAAAAACTGGCGCCTACCAATGAATACAAACATTCAAACACCCCAAAACGAGTTTTTCCACGTATACCTGTGACTATCATTGATGTTGAAGTTGGATTCATTCCATCCGAAGAGAGTCCAAAATGGTGCTTGTCTAAGGTAAAAGTGATGGCGTCTGTCGGAAGCGGCGGGAAACTCTTTCTATGTGACGGCCTAAAAAGGGTGACATTATTTTTTCCCCTTTGTTTACGGTTTTTCCAGAACGTCTCGAATATTTCCAAAGAGGTGTTACGAGGGAAAGAAAAGTAAGGGAAAACCCTCCCTCCCCCCAAGCCTCTGACAACTCTGAGGGATGGTTATTCCCTACTTGGGTAATCTACGGTCTACCTTGTATTCTGTAGTTTAAAACCGCCCAAACGCGCGAGGCAGTGAGGGAAAGGTGAATGCGAACGCCCTCCCTGGACCACCAGCCAGTTGGCTGCGGTTTTCTCACTCACATTCAGGGAAGAGCCATGGTCTCGTTCGGCTTTACTGTGCAAAAGGCAAGTTTGTGTCAAGCGGGCGGTATCCCTGATGTTCTGGGAATGACGTTTTTCTTCGACAACCCTCACCCTCTTTTCCTTTTTTGCCTTTTTCCTTGGGGGGGGGGATGGGCCTATCTCCTCTGCAGGAAGACAATGTGCGCACATCTGCAAGCGTGCTAGGCGGATAGGGAAAAGGGTGCTGCTCTCGCAAAAGTCATGAGAAGTGCAGCTTTCGGGATGGATTGTGCAACTGTGCAACTAGCACGGCAACTGCATCGTGCATCGGCCAGAGCAGAGCACGTTCCAACAGACCAACACTAGAAGGGGGGGGGGAGGGAATGAAGATCATACACGCATCTCACTTTTCTTCTTTCTGTGCAGTGCCCGCAGTAGTAAGCACGTTCTAAGAAAGGCAGGGCTGTCGAAGGGGGATGGATCAATGGATCGGTGGTTCTGGTGGTGGTCACTTCTGGCGCTGGTGCCCATTCTCGAAAGGGGGGCTGGCTTCGCACGCTTCGCTGTCTGGTTTCCGCGATGGGTCTGCAAACATGATTGGACGGTGAAGCAACCTGGGAAAAGATGTGGGAAACGGTCATCGTTCGCCCTGTTTTCGGTGGTGCGGGTGGTATGGGTGAGTTGCGTCGAGGTGGTCCGTTCCATCCTCCCCTTCCAAGTCTTGTCTTATCCCCCAGTCTCTCCAATCATGACCCCTGTCCTTACAAGTCACTGCCGTAGTGTAGTATGGGTAGTGTTATTCTTTTTTTTTCCTTTTCTTAATTGTTCTGGGGACCGCAGGCTGGCCCTACCGTGAGCCTTGAGGGCGGAGGTTGATGCCCTCTTTGGGTTTAGAGTGTACAAAGAGGGTTTGGGGTGAGACGATTATAGGCCGTGGTGAGCCCTGCCAATATTTTTATCTTATTATTTCCTTTTCCATGGAGCAAGAGTGTGACGGTGCCTACTGCCCAGTGCCAACCTAGGGATTTCTTTGGTGCATGGGTCATGGGTTGTCACCAGCTTTTACTGGGAGTGAGAGTCTTAGCAGAGTCCCCTGAAGGCTGGAGAAGAAGAGAAGAAGGTTGAGCCTTGGTCGGATTCGGGCTCGTGCCTCGGTGACTGGGGTCAGGAGGGTTCGGAATGGGACGCGCGCGATGTCATGTAGTGACATTAGTTGTACGGATACGGATGGTTTAGATGCCATGAAAGGGGGAGGATCGCAATGTATGGGTAGGTACGGAGTAGTAGCACCAAGGAAGAAAGGTTGCGGAGCCTTTTTGTTAGTGTATCCAACCGGGTCGTGTTATTCAACTTTCCCAATGTTAGGGAATCCCCGAAGACTGGCGCACTGGGAGAGAAACTTGAGAGAGAAAGTGAGGTGGACTTGCATGGGACCATGGGGCCTGTTTGCGCCGTTGTCACCTTATTACGCATGCGGCACGGCGGAGGATGGGTTGTAAGGTAGGGACGCCTCGGGCGTTGTGTGGTTTGGGCATGGAAGCGTGTGGGTGGAGCAGAGCACTGGCTTGGATGGATGGAATGATGGATGGGAGACCATGGGCACGGCATGGCACAGCACAGCATGGCATGGGAAAACGCGATAGCGAATCCCATCGTGGTGGGCATGCATGTAGGCAACCCTGTTTGCTATTAGGGTGGGTGAGGCACTGAAGCGTGAGCCAACTGGAAGAAGCATGTAGGAGCGTGTGAGAGGTTGCAGATATGGAGACACGTCTATGTGTGTGTATAGGTGGCTAGTTCTGTTACTAAACATGCAAGTGTGTGCTTTCCGTGGGAGCCGTCAACCTTTTTGTTTCTGTTTTATTCCTTCACTTTTGCCGTTATTGGGTTGCGAGGTTTAGCACTTTACACGGACACTTTCTGAGGCGAATGTGCTATTATAGCTGAGTATAGCAAGTCTCGGTGTGGCCTGATGGATGGGTGGATGGGGCCAAAGTGCTTCCCTCTCACATTTGGAAGTGTACCGAATTTTGGGATGACATGTCGTCTGGCTTACACTTCCGTGCTTCCCGCCGCGCTCTCGAGCAGGAGGAGGCGTCAAGTCTTACCGGATGGACGAGACGAGGTGGGGGGGGGGGCCTCGAGAGGAAAGGGCCTGGATAGGTATAGGCAAGGGACGCATCAAACCACGCGAGAGGGATAGCCAAGCGGGATCATGGGATAGAGAAAAAAAGGATGTTTGAAAGAAAGGACTGGAAATAGTTAGCGTGCCATATGCTAGATGTGACGGCTTATGACGATAGAAGGCTAGATAGGGCCAAGTTCACTTATTGAACAAGGCAGAGAGAGGAGAGAAAGACAGAGGAGACGAGTTGGCCAAGAGTAAAGCTGGCACTAAACTCTCTGATGGGCGGTGGTGGTGGGTTTGGTTAAGCACATTTTTGGTGTGGTTGGGTTGGTTGCCAGTTTCGCCCGAGAGTCCTTACCCACGATCGCTGAGCCGTGAGTGGCTTGAATCACTTGACTTCCCGCTTGCGCTAGGCCTTGACAGCAAGCAGATGCATGTTCTACAGACCAACTTACTGGGGAGGGGGGGGGGAGGACTCAAGTATGCCGTGGACATGGGTGAGTTCTGACTAGTTAGATGCTGGCAGCTCTCAACTCTGCGGGTGATTTCTTGAACCTTTTCGCATGATGAGGTGATGAGTGATGTAGACATTGGACGCCGACTGACAGGTCTCCGGGGGATACTTACTGTAGTGAGCGGATACTGGGCCCACCGTCCCATGACCGCAGCCTGTTTGTGGTGCCATCCACCGGAGTTATTGGAAAGACGGAGACGGCGGCCGCGGCCGCGGCGCACGGCGACGATGAAACCCCCGGCCGAGGGGGAGGTTGTTGAATGGATGTGGAGTTTGATGCGGTGTGGCACTGTCATGGTTGGTCTATGATGGAGAACGTCGGCATTCCTGGCTGAAAGATCTGCTGATACTGTCGTTGGCGATGCTCTAGAATCGATAAGCGTGAAGCTCGCATTCATCAGTTGGCTCTTTACTAGACTTGTTGTCAACCAATCTCAAAAGTCCAGTCTCTCTTGCTGTCTCTATGGTTTCCACCCATCCACACTTTTTGATAGGTTGGGTTGGCTGCTATCTCTACGGGCTCTTCCCCGGTAGGCGTTTGCGAACTCTATTCTTGTCTTGGCTGTACATTCGTGCCTTATGGACTACGGATACTGTGGGTTATCAACTTATCGTCCTCTTTTTTTTTTTTTTTTTTAATCTATCTTTTTTGACAGCTCCGGCCAAGCTTTGCGTTTGACTTGTGATAGAGTTTGACCGCGTTTTGAAAATGGGGTAGGACAGAAAAGCAACGGAGACAGGGTTTAGACGTTTGGGAGAAGGCAATAATTCTGCTCTGCTGCGGTGTCGATCATTGGAAAAGGCAACAAGTTGGCGAGTCGCTTTCTCATCCGGCCCCTGCTCCTGTTTGCTCGTTTGGGTCTCTCGTAGCGGTCGTTGTGGGCAATGGCGGAGGGTTACCGGTATTCTCTCTTCCTATGGATATCGAGCAATCAATTTACAGTCGATTCAATGCAATGGATGCATGCTGTCGGATTTGGCAAGACCAGAAACCGGTTAAAGACTTCTACCTTGGTTGACGAGACCGGGTTGACCGTACCGTACTCTGCTTTGAGGCCCTCGCGAAAAAGCCCCCTGCAACTCTCTTTTCGTTTCTTGCAGCAGTGACAAGTCAGTTGATGGGGAACCCGATATGCCGGGTTTTGGCTGCAAGCCGCAGGCCGCAAGCGGACGGAGGGGGCGGTGAGGGAAAAAAAAAAAAAAAGGTCTAGGCCCCGGCTCGAGTTGGACAAGGTGGAAAACGACATATCTATCGAGATACAGTATGGCTTGATAGATGCAAGAGAGAAGGTGCGTTTCCCAGACATGATTGGACGGAATCGAACCTGTTCTCGACATTTGCCTGCATTGAGCTGAGCGTTGTCACTTTCTCCTCCCCGCAATTCATGGTGGCGATAAGCCAGGGCTTTTCGTCGTGATGGAGACAAAACGAACAACGAACAGCCCGAGCCACTAAGAAGAGATGGGTCATGGGCAAGCACGGCAGGTCTTCACTGGGCTTTGCGGTCTTTTTCGTTTGTTCGCCTGTCTCCCCCTTGCACTTGCATCTAGTGGGCTCACTGGACTGGTGAACTGCGCTTTTTCAGGCCCCCGTCATCATACGCCGGTAGTTGTTGAGCTGGTTCGGAAACGTTCCCGCGGCGCGGCCGGGGGGCTAGAGTTGAAGGGCCCTATGCCACTTTGGCACATAATCTTCGGATGACACCTAGTACCTTAGACCGCTTCTGCGCATGGCGCATGATGGGGATTGATATTGACGGGTTTCTGCCCAAGTGTGGACAAAAGAACGCAGAAGGAAGCGCGCATCTAACGGGTGGGGGCGTTCAATATTCTTGTTCCTCTAGAAAGTCTGGAAGGTGAACCGCCGGGGGCCACAGATGATCAAGGGATGGGATGGATAGCTGCAGATCGAGATGCGGAGAACGGCACGGCGGCGAGGGAGCGGGCATTGAGCGAGTGCCTTTTTGCGGCCGCAGAAACCGAGCTGGTGGGCACACTGAAGAGTCGTAGGACTGGTTTGCCAAGGCCGCGCGCCGTTGGTACGATGCTCGCGATGCGTGATACCAGGCGTCATTTCTGGAGACAAACTGAGAGACATGGTGGAAGTAAGGGCGCACGGCAGTTGTTGCTTCTCGGCGTCGTCTTGTCTCTTGTTGAGGGGTTGGAAGGGGGGGTTGTGTCAGTGTGCCTATAATCAGGAAGCTCATGAGTGGCTAGGCGAGAACGAGCTTGGCTGGTGAGGAGGTAGATACTTCGAACCATCATGTCTTGGAGCTCGCGTTGCGGTGGATGCGCAAGGTTACGAAGCATGGAAGCGTGGTTGAGCAGCTATCAGTCATCAACTACGTCAATTGTCTCGATCTCTCTTCGAGACTCGCGTGGGAGGGTCAAACTCGCACGTTTGCGCACGTTCCCTTGTCGCAACGTCCACCGTTCGATAGATGGATAGGGAGACATCGCAAGTCTACTAACTTGGAGGATTTCGAAGAATGTGATCTCTGGAGACACTCACGGTGCGATACTAACAATGAATCCTTCTTATCAACCTATGATTGGCAATCTGCGATGAGTCCGGCTGAACATGCTGCGCTTCCAGACCGTCCGTGTTCAACTGGAACACTTTAGTCTCTAGGGTGTAGCAAGCAGCACCATCAACGTCATGATCGCGATTCTGTGTAGATCGCCGCGTGGTTGTTATTCCTCCCTTACCGCCGAGAGATCTTCAAAACACATTGGACACAGCTAAGGCCGCCCTTGCCAGCGCCGGTGGCAAATACTCGTAGATGGTTCCCATCGTCACGGCCCCGGGGTCCCGTCGTAGAGACTCGCTTCGCACGGACGGGGCCGGCGGTTCACGGCCGGGGTCTTTATTGACGAAACAGAGGGGCAGTGGGAGCGAGAGGGGTTGAAGACAACAATCATGACAATGAACTTGGAGATATGCCGTCGCTACCGAACATAACGATCAGCTTGGCACAGAGCCTCTCCCCTAAAGACTCCAAGTGGCGAATACTGAACATGGAAGTTGCTTGCCAATATCTCAAGGTGTGGTGGAACCCATCAAGTCGGGATACTATCTTTGGTGCATCAGTTGTCACTGTAGGGCCCTAGGAGAACAATGCCCCTTCAACTCGCAACTCTCACTCACTCACCTTTCCCATGTCGACACTGACCGCATTGCCCATTGCGTCGTTTTCGCTCCGCGATTCTCTAGTTCGTTGATTCGCCATCCAATCATGGCCCGAGTCGCCCACCCAACCAGCGACTCTGCCGTCTTAGCTCGGAGAGGGGAACTATTCGATGACAGAAAGTCCCGATTGCACATGGCCGCCCCGATCTCCAAAGACAACACCGGCGCTCGAGAGGGTAACGACGTTTAGTCCCGCCCAT